TGGGTGAGGCACGTGGGTGAGGCACGTGGGTGAAGCACGTGGGTGAGGCACGTGGGTGAGGCACGTGGGTGAGGCACGTGGGTGAGGCACGTGGGTGAAGCACGTGGGTGAAGCACGTGGGTGAGGCACGTGGGTGAAGCACGTGGGTGAAGCACGTGGGTGAAGCACGTGGGTGAGGCACGTGGGTGAAGCACGTGGGTGAGGCACGTGGGTGAAGCACGTGGGTGAGGCACGTGGGTGAGGCACGTGGGTGAGGCACGTGGGTGAGGCACGTGGGACGTGCAATTCGACCACTGCACGTACGACCTGGCCTCCTCCTACAAAGAACGCCGCATTTCGCTCGTTTGCGTTACATGAGGCCAAAAATTGTCGTACTAGAAAATGAAAGCGGCTCATGAAAGTGACGTACTGTCCCGTTTTCTGTTTTGGATCCTCTGGTAGGTTAGGAGAGGACACTTTAAATTGACCGTTTTCTTAACGTTGGAACGCCTTAGGAGGACGGGCTGCGTACAGACCGTGAACCTGTCAATCTTGTTCTGATGACGGCCTGTCCACTCACTATATTATTCAGAATATAGCACATAGCGGCACGGCTAAGCCAGCACCTCCCCCCCCCCCCCCCCGACCCCAACACATGTTTCAAGCCGTGACTGGAGGCGGCAGAGGACTCCACAGTGTGGAGGCGTGTTCCCGCGCGAGGGGGGGGGGGGGCACATAACATGATGGAGGCGCTCTCCCTCGCCTTACTCATCGTGGAGGTTGTTGATGATAGTTGCCACTGGAGGCGGCTAGTTTATTGTGCACCCCATACTCATCCTGTGAGCGATAGCGCAAAAAGCATTACAGAGGGCACAAATGGTCTTTATCAGACCTCATCTTAGATTATTACATAAACAATTTCATCTATCCTTCACACCTTATAGTTACATGTCAACTAGTTACAGAGAAAGTGCTATTTCAAGAGCTATATATTTAAGCTCATTAAGCATGTCATTATACATTATTGGTTGGTCTTATCGCTAATACATAATTGTTTGAACAATGGGGATGTTACAGAGTCATAGGGGAGCTTCTGTTTATTATTAGTCTTCACAATACACTACTTGTTTCTGAATCTCATATGTCGTTCATCTACTGGAAGCGAAATATGGATACAGTGCAAGGATTTCAGGTATTTTATCCTTGGTAATAAGATAGGTTGCCATATCATACAGAGTGAGCTTAGATTTATCTCTAAAATTGTTCAATTTTACTACAATCCAAGATATAGTGTTCGAGTGTGTGTCCCTGTCTTTGTTCACACACTTTACACTTTACTTCATCTAGATCCCTATACAAGCCGAACTGCCACATATACTTGTAGCCAAGTCTTATACGAGCTGTGACAACATCTGTTAGTCTACTGACTTTGTTACTTGCCCCATACACGTGTTTTACTTCACACATTTCATTGTGATGAACAGTGAACCTGCTAGTTTCAGTTTGCACAGTTCTACTTTCTTCAAATTCATCCAGGAGTTCTCGTCTAATGACACTTTTAAGGGACCTATTTGATAACTCAAGATTCCCTTCAATACTGTCTTTATTTACTGCAGCCTTAGCAAGGGCGTCAACTTTGTCATGTTCCTGCAGGCCAATGTGAGAAGGAATCCACAACATTTTTATATTTACCCTCTTACTAAGTATGCTTATATGTCTGGCTTCTGAGACAAGCACCTTATTACTTGATTGCAAACTGTTTATTGCTAGTAGTGAGGAAAGGGAGCCGGAAATAATTAAGCTACAGTGTTGTCAATAATTTTGAGTGCTACCAGTATCGCTACCAACTCAGCTTGCATTGTGGACGCCCAGTTACTAATTCGTATATTCCTTTGAATTGTGCTGCCATCGGGCTGATGAGCAATAACAGCACTTCCTGCCCTCCCTGTACCTGTATGAGTGATCCGTCAGTGTATATGGTCTGTGCTATGTTGTTTTCAGCTTGTATATTGTGAATGTGTTCTATGGTGCTTAATTCAGCAGCAAGCTGAGCATGAGGGTTGCTTGTGATTAGTTTCTTGGTGGGGTATGCTGGGGTCAGGATGTCAAAAGGTACTATCTGCCAGGGTGGAAGGAAGTGCTGTACTCTTTCGGTGTGGAGCGTTTCCCTGGTCTCATTGACGAAGACTCCTCTGCGGGGTCCTCAAGGTCGCTCCTGAACACGCTGCTCGTCATGACCCACCAAACATCGAACTCTTCAAAGACGATTATTTGGCACCAAAGAGCCGAAGCTCAATCCCAAAATACACAGGTAAGTATACAGCGTCAATCCAATGCTTCATAAAAGCATATGTACATTGTTCATTGTGTTGTGTCATATTCATTATACACATTCACTGCTTTCTGACACCCCGCTGGCACACTGTCTCCTTGCCATACCCCATGTCTTGTTCACTCACTCACTCTCTCACTCACAACCTACTTTCTTACCGGTCTCTCGTTTCTCTGTTTACACTTAGATTCACTTGAAGCACCTATCACCACCAGTCTGCCGTCATTAAGTCGTTCAACAGGGACAAGCCGTCTCAGCAACCACTCTAAATTTGTTGTTAATTGACGTTGCACTTCACATCTGATGTTCTCACTCGTTGCTCTCTTCTACAACCACTCTCACGGGATTCCCAGATTACCAGTTTTAACTGCAGGAATTCTTGGCTTTAACCGTTTACTCCACACAGTCAACTGGCAACCATACCAAAGGGTTGGCTTCACCACTCCTCCTGACTCTGACTCTACTCTCGGTTAGTCAGTTCTGACTCTACTCTCAAGGAGTGGTTTCTTGGGTGAGGAGTTGGCATTGTAGGGTGGAGGTGGTAGGGGTAGCTCGGGTGTGGCCAGGGTGAGCATGTGGGCCGGGGTGACTAGGGGGAGCATGTGGGCGTGGGTGGCCAGGGTGAGCATGTGGGCGTGGGTGGCCAGGGTGAGCATGTGGGCCGGGGTGACTAGGGGGAGCATGTGGGCGTGGGTGGCCAGGGTGAGCATGTGGGCGTGGGTGGCCAGGGTGAGCATGTGGGCGTGGGTGGCCAGGGTGAGCATGTGGGCGGGGGTGGCCAGGGTGAGCATGTGGGCGGGGGTGACTAGGTTGAGCATGTGGGCGGGGGTGGCCAGGGTGAGCATGTGGGCGGGGGTGGCCAGGGTGAGCATGTGGGCGGGGGTGACTAGGGTGAGCATGTGGGTGGCCTGGGTGAGCATGTGGGCGAGGGTGACTAGGGTGAGCATGTGGGCGGGGGTGACTAGGGTGAGCATGTGGGCGGGGGTGGCCAGGGTGAGCATGTGGGCGGGGGTGGCCAGGGTGAGCATGTGGGCGGGGGTGGCCAGGGTGAGCATGTGGGCGGGGGTGACTAGGGTGAGGATGTGGGCGGGGGTGGCCAGGGTGAGCATGTGGGCGGGGGTGGCCAGGATGAGCATGTGGGCGGGGGTGGCCAGGGTGAGCATGTGGGCGGGGGTGGCCAGGGTGAGCATGTGGGCGGGGGTGGCCAGGGTGAGCATGTGGGCGGGGGTGGCTAGGGTGAGCATGTGGGCGGGGGTGGCCAGGGTGAGCATGTGGGCGGGGGTGGCCAGGGTGAGCATGTGGGCCGGGGTGGCCAGGGTGAGCATGTGGGCGGGGGTGGCCAGGGTGAGCATGTGGGCGGGGGTGGCCAGGGTGAGCATGTGGGCCGGGGTGACTAGGGTGAGCATGTGGGCGGGGGTGGCCAGGGTGAGCATGTGGGCGGGGGTGGCCAGGGTGAGCATGTGGGCGGGGGTGGCCAGGGTGAGCATGTGGGCGGGGGTGGCCAGGGTGAGCATGTGGGCGGGGGTGGCCAGGGTGAGCATGTGGGCGGGGGTGGCCAGGGTGAGCATGTGGGCGGGGGTGGCCAGGGTGAGCATGTGGGCGGGGGTGACTAGGGTGAGCATGTGGGCGGGAGTGGCCAGGGTGAGCATGTGGGCGGGGGTGGCCAGGGTGAGCATGTGGGCGGGGGTGACTAGGGTGAGCATGTGGGCGGGGGTGGCACCTGGGGTCCAGTGCCACTGTTTGTTGACAGAGTGTCATGTGCCAGTATTTCTGGCACTGGCCCCACCGCAGCGGGCACTACCTTACCCCACACCCTCCACCATCACCACCACCTCCACCACCGTCACCATCACCACCATCTCCTCCATCACCATCTCCACCACCACCACTTTCACTCCCACCTCCACCATCACTACCAACACCTCACCATCAGCACCATCAACAGCGTAAAGGGAAGGCGACTGCAGGAGCCAGAAAGGGAAAAAGCCGAGGCTGGGAGTGAATATATGTCCAACACTCACACCGGAGGCACACATAAACAGGGTAACATCAGCAGCATATGGGGCGCCCTCGCTAACATTAGAACGTCGTTTAGAAATCTAAATAAGGACCTTTCCCCGGTAATCTACACAGTCTGTTAGACCGGCACTGGAGTCTGCAGTACCGGCCTGGAATCCATACCTTTTGAGGAACAAAACAAAATCTAAAATGTGTAGAGATTTGCAACGAGACAAGTGCCAGAAGTAAGAGTTGTTTATACTAGTATTATTAGTTAACGTTATCTCACAACACTGGAAGTAAGGAGACACAGGAGATACGATTACAATATTAAATATACTGATGGTAATTAATAGGCAAAGTTGACAAGGAGAGTCTCCTTAAATTGGGAGAAAGTAGGCCCATAGGACATAAGTGGACGCTGGAAACGCAAGTGAATCTATGAAATTTAAGGAAATTCTTTTACCTTCATCCAAAACTTTAAAGCCAGATGCGACAATGAATTCGAACGTCCGAAGACTGAATGCAAGAGCCAGGGTGGTCGTCGGGGGCATAACGAGCTAGACCACGCTGCCCCGTAGTCAGTGTTATGTCAGTATAGCCACCATGCGGCCGCCTCGTCGTCTTCATGACCCCAGACATATGAGCAATACTGTGCGTCGTAACCCCACTCTCCGTCTGCTGTTTGCAGATGAAGTCAAAGAGAGGACTAGCAAAGAGCGCTGCTCCTCACTGTGAAGCTGTGGAGACGAGCAGACCATCCGGCTGTTACCGTGCAGCCGGAACGTCTCCAGTCATAGCTGCCAACATGAACTATAACTTAAATCCTGACTTATGTAGATTGTAATGTCATTATTTAAGAACTCAAGAGCACTTTGCGCTGATGCTGGGCTTGGGAAGATGGTGGTAGTGGTTGGTGGTTGTCATAAGGTGTTCCCTCAACTCGGCACTCATTCTTGTTCTGTAGTAAACAAAACAAAAAGGACTGATTTAATACTTAAGAACAGTCCCAATAAACAATACAACCCTCTCAAACAAGCAAACGTGGTTTACCAATTTACATGAACCAATGAAGGATGTCACCTTCTATGTATTTATATTGGTATGACTACCACATAGCTTTCAAGAAGACTGACCTGCCATCTACAAGCAGGTGCACCTAGAGATCATATGTATAGTGTACATTACACAATACTCACTAAGAACATGATAGTTGACAATACAACACTACTTTGATCTACCACTGACCAGAGAAGACTGTCAATACTGGAAGCTATACTCATAAATGAAAAAAGACCAACCTTAAATATAAAGAGTAACGACTTCAATGCCTTGCCTACGCTAAGATCCAGACCTCGCCAAAGAGCAACAGAGAGCCACATCTTTACCCATTTTTCCCTGCCTCCCCCTTCCCTTTCCAGCCTGTTGTCATCGTGAGGGGGCTTGGTGGGCAGGCCGGGGTGTGATGCTTCATGGGACGGTCCTTTGTTCTTTTGAAGCCTTATGCTCCTGCTGCTGTCTTCACTAATGTTGCTGGATGCTATTTCCTCTTCCTTATGTTTCATTTTTCCTCCCCACTCGTCTCCTTTCTAATTGTCATTTCCCACTGACTTTTTGCCATTCTTAATTATTCTTTCGGACATCTGTTTTGACGCCCGGATGTTTGGGGAGGCACACTATCTCACCCATAGAACTGTGATACCGGATGTTTCAAATGAGGGGAGGCATTTATTGTCAATCCTCGCCATCGTTGCTGAACCCGATCTCGAAGGACTGATGGTTTTTAAGGTGGCGATTGCGATGAGTATACTCACAATGCACCTCCAGGGGACCCTGTCTTCTAAGTCCCCTAGGGGACACCTTAAATTATTGCACTCATCTTCAGCTTCCCTATAACGATCCCTTCTCTCTTTCTCCGAACTTCAGTCTGCCCCGGCCCTCTGCGGTTCTACAGCAGCGGACTCAGATGACATTCATTATGAGATGCTTCGCAATCTCCATGTGCATCTTGGTGTTTACTAAATCTGTATAACCGTATCTGGGAGTCGTTGTCAGTCCCCGAAGACTGGCTCGAGGCGATGGTTCTTCCTATTCGGAAAACAGGATCTCTAGGGACATCCCATAAAGACTTCCGCCCCATTGCCTTCACGAGTTGTGTTTGCAAACTCTTTGAATGTATGGTCAATGTCCGTCTGATGTGGTTCTTGGAACACTCACCACCTCTCAATTTGGATTTCACAAGTGCCGCAGCAAGACTGATGTCTTGGTGAACTTGGAGGTCTATATGCTTTTGCTGCAAAGACCTCCGATGTTGCTGTCTTTTTTGACCTGGAAAAGGCATATGACACCACCTGGAGAGACCATATCCTGTTCCAACTCCGTTCTTTTGGCCTTTGTGGTAATCTCCCTCTTTTCCTTCAAAGCTTCCTCTCTAGTCGATCTTTAGAGTGAGGCTTGGTACCACTCTCTCTTCTTCTTTTCGGCAATTCGAAGGTGTACCCCAAGGTAGTGTTCTGAGCACTATTTATTTCCTTGTTGCCCTCAACGGTCTTCTTTCCTCCCTTACCTCTGGCATCTCAGCGCTCTATGTCGACGATCTTACCCTTTGCTGTCGAGGTGATGACTCGCCTTTCCTTCAATGATGGCTTCAACTTGCGATTGATGCCGCGTCGTCTTGGGCCACTAATCATGGCTACAAGTTCTTTATAACTAAAACTTGTGCTATGACTTTTACTGGGAAGCAGGTAGTTCTTCGTCCCTCTTTTTCGCTTTATGGTCATCCCCTTGTATACAAAGATCCTACTAAGTTTTGGGGGTTAATCTTTGACACTCGTTTGTTTTGGTCAGCCCATATCTCTTACCTCTTCATTGAATGCTCTAAGGCCCTTAACCTACTTAAGGTTTTGTCCCATACTTCTTGGGGGAGCAGATAGGTGCATGCTCCTCTATTTACATTCCTCTCAAGTACTGTCCAAATAATGGTTGCCCTGCTTACTCGTCTGCTTCTTCTATTCTTCGCCGTCTCAATGCTCGACACCATACTTGTTACGCCTCAGCTCTGGTACCTTTCGTTCGACTCCTACCCTAAGCCTGTATGTTGAAACGGGCGTCCTGTCTCTCCAGGATCGCCATGATTGCTACTGTCATGGTAGGTAGCTACTGTCGTCGCTACCTTGCATGGTCCTTGCAACACCCCTCACTGTCGCCTATGTCGTGTTTTGACTTTTGCCCCTCCTGTAGTCTCTGTTCCCCTTCACCACGTCCCTCTTTCTGTACGGTTGTCTCGCCTAAAAGATTCTCTTTCGATTAGTGTTACCAATATTTCTCCTCGTGCCGTTCTGTCCTTTTCCCGTGGAGGATCCCCCGTTTTAAATTTTGTAAAATTTTGACTCACGTGACTAAAGCTTTTACCCCTCCTACAGTTCTGAAATGCCTTTTCCTTGAACACTTTTCTTGACACTCCCGCTAAATTTCAGTCTTCACCGATGGGTCTTAAGTATGCAAACGGTGTAGGCTACTCTTATTTTTCCTGACCACAACTATATGTGTCGCCTGCCTCTGGAGACTACCATCTTCACAGCAGAACTTTATGATATAATGTATGCTCCTCGTCAAATGCTTTCTCGCTGTCAATCCTTGAGAAATCCTCGCTGTTGTTGTAGTTGGCTCACACAGTGCCCTCATGGCTCTGGATTCCTTTAATCCAGTCCATCCTGTGGTAGACGAGATTCAACATTGGCTGTTTCTTATCTCCAGTAGATTTAAGACAGTGGAGTTTTGCTAGGTGCCCAGGAAAAGTGGTGTGTCCTTAAATGAGCATGCGGATGCTGCCACTAAGGAGGCTATCCGCACTTATCCCATCTCCCGTAAAGGTGTTTCTTATTTTGACTTTTACCCAGTTATTCATTGCTCAATCCTTGCCAGTTGGCAGGGTTGTTGGTCATCTGTTACTGGTAACAAGCTGCGTGCTCTTAAGAGTAGTGTGTCCCCTTGGCCTTCCTCCTAACACTATAACCGGCGGTGAGAAACGGCTCTGCCGAGGTTATGTATTGGTCATACACGCTTAACTCATGGACACTTAACGGAGCACCGCCCTGCTCCTTATTGTCCAAACTGCATTGTCCCTCTTACGGTCGTGCAAATCCTTGTTGAATGTGCTGACTTCCAGGACGTGCGTGTGTCCCTCCACACCGTCCCTAGATAGCATCCTTGGTGAGTCAGATACCTTCAGTATCGCTCGCCTTATGCGCTTTTGTTCTCGTATTGGCATCCATAGTGATATTTAGCGCCCTATGAATATCCCGCACATTTGATGGTGCTACATAGCCTTCCCGGCTTGGTGCTTTCTTTTGGAGATTACTTACTTATTCTCCCCACCCACCGCCTTACCCAGTGTTTGATTGTCATCCATGCCCATTATTCCCCTTATTTCTTCCCCTGTGTGTGATTACTTCACCTGACTCCACACAACTTCACCTCACACACTGTACAGTGTATAAGATAACTTGGCACCTTTTATATTCATTCCTTACCTGAAGATGTTCCAGTATGGGACGAAACGTTGTAGAAAATATACCTTCATTAATCCTTAGAGTTTCTTTACCATGAATATCGGTGTCTAGATTGTTCTTCTTGGTCCCCAGAGTAAGAAAATAGAAGCATAGAAAGATTATACTATAAGATGAGCGACGCCACTAATACGGCTGCTGGTGACGTTGATATACTGAGGGAGGCGGTGAACAATTTCCCCTCAGTGTACACTACTGTGTGTCGCCCCCCTGGTGTTGTGGCCTCAGTGTACACTACTGTGTGTCGCCCCCCTGGTGTTGTGGCCTCAGTGTACAGTACTGTGTGTCGCCCCCCTGGTGTTGTGGCCTCAGTGTACACTACTGTGTGTCGCCCCCCTGGTGTTGTGGCCTCAGTGTACAGTACTGTGTGTCGCCCCCCTGGTGTTGTGGCCTCAGTGTACACTACTGTGTGTCGCCCCCCTGGTGTTGTGGCCTCAGTGTACAGTACTGTGTGTCGCCCCCCTGGTGTTGTGGCCTCAGTGTACACTACTGTGTGTCGCCCCCCTGGTGTTGTGGCCTCAGTGTACACTACTGTGTGTCGCCCCCCTGGTGTTGTGGCCTCAGTGTACAGTACTGTGTGTCGCCCCCCTGGTGTTGTGGCCTCAGTGTACACTACTGTGTGTCGCCCCCCCCCTGGTGTTGTGGCCTCAGTGTACACTACTGTGTGTCGCCCCCCTGGTGTTGTGGCCTCAGTGTACACTACTGTGTGTCGCCCCCCCCCTGGTGTTGTGGCCTCAGTGTACACTACTGTGTGTCGCCCCCCCCCTGGTGTTGTGGCCTCAGTGTACACTACTGTGTGTCGCCCCCCCCTGGTGTTGTGGCCTCAGTGTACACTACTGTGTGTCGCCCCCCTGGTGTTGTGGCCCCAGTGTACACTACTGTGTGTCGCCCCCCCCCCTGGTGTTGTGGCCTCAGTGTACACTACTGTGTGTCGCCCCCCCCCTGGTGTTGTGGCCTCAGTGTACACTACTGTGTGTCGCCCCCCCCCCTGGTGTTGTGGCCTCAGTGTACACTACTGTGTGTCGCCCCCCTGGTGTTGTGGCCTCAGTGTACACTACTGTGTGTCGCCCCCCCCCTGGTGTTGTGGCCTCAGTGTACACTACTGTGTGTCGCCCCCCTGGTGTTGTGGCCTCAGTGTACACTACTGTGTGTCGCCCCCCTGGTGTTGTGGCCTCAGTGTACACTACTGTGTGTCGCCCCCCTGGTGTTGTGGCCTCAGTGTACACTACTGTGTGTCGCCCCCCCCCTGGTGTTGTGGCCTCAGTGTACACTACT